ATTATCGTTTTCTGAACTGTTCCTAGGCTGAAAAGGTAGGATTTTTCCTGAAAAACCACGGGCTTTTCGAAAATATCCCATGCTGTCTGGAAACGGCTGCGCTAATTTGTGTTATGTATGCTTAGAAAGCGTTAGTTTGACGAACATTTTGACAAATTATGAGTCAGTTTAAATGAATGCTAATAAGTGTGCAGTGCGCACTCATTATACTGATTATACCTCCCACTGAAAAAAATAATCAAAATTCATGCAGGATCCCGCGGGTTATCGGTATTAAGATATCTGGGGATGTTTCTTATCTTTACGAAGGATTTTTATACTACCAGCTCTGACAGAACCCTGCATAGTTTATGTAGGGTCAGCATGGAAAAAATCCTGCGTAAAGGCAAGAAACATCGCAAGACTTTTGGACTTATTCAATCCACAAGTTTTTTCCTACAAGGTTTGGCAGAATTTTGTTGGTTGAAAGAAAAACGATTTTGTTCTCCATGTCTATCCTGTGGTATCCAGCAATCTTTTCTCACCAATGTCTGTCCAGGGTGACCGTGGCAGAACTTGTCTGTATTTTTTTTTTGGAAAGTTAAGTACTTTTTTCTTATAAAATTATAAAAATTTTTCTCGTGTCCAATAAACGTCTAGAAAACGTATACCTTAATATTTTGACTTGCATTTTCATGTGTTAATAGATAACTGAAAAGATCTTTTTATGTCAGGAATATTCTATTTTTTTCCATCAATAAGAAATTAAAGTCATTAGAATGATCCCGCTATTGTGAAAAAAGATGTATAGGAAAGCAGAGATATCAGACTATTCTAAATTTCTTTAGCTTTGAATGGTATCCTTTCGTTTCGTCCCGTATTTTTTAATTAGCTCTCGTTCAATACTTGTTTCATCCCGTTTATTTTCTAGCATTGTCTTCATTTTATGACTATTCATTTTTCTCTATCAACTGTATACTAATTAATATTAACATAATTCGTTAAGATAACTGATACATGCCATATTCATACGTTGATACGTATCAATATGGACTAATTCGTTTTTCTAAACCTGGATTCAATTTAATTTTAACAACGTCATTTTGCATGCTACATGATAGAATTGAACTGTTTAATGGAAAAGCTTTTGCAACGAAACAATATTCATGAATGAAACAATGGCAAGGATCTGACGAAACGAGAGGGTGAAAGTTTACAACAATTGTGATAATAGATTGAATTTTTTACACGATATGAAAATGGTACTTTATCAGGAACTGAACTTGCAACTAAATGTGGCAAATGTGTTAATACTGTAAAATTACCTGTTTCATTATAACTCGTAAATAAAATAATAAATGTAACTTATAAAGACATCTATCAATTTCTTACATTATCTTAATGAATTATATTAATATTGATTAGTTGATAGAAAAAAAAAAAATGAATAGTTATAAAATGAGTAGAATGCTAGAAAATAAATCGGATGAAACGAGTGTGGGACTAAATGAGAGTAATCCCTTTGAATACTCTGTTGAATGGTATATAATTTAAAAACTTCGGTAAAACATTGAAAAGTTATAGTTAAAAATATTAAGGTATACATTTTCCGGAAGTTTATTCGACACGAGAAAGGCTTTTATGATTTTACAAGAAAGGGTGCAAAAGTACTTAACTTTCTAAAAATAAAAAATACAGACAAGTTCCTTCACAGTCACCCTGCACAGACATTGATGAGAAAAGATTGCAGAATGCCGCAAGATAGACATGGCGGACAAAATCCACAAGCTACTTGTTTTTATCATCACGAAAAAATCCTACGAACCTTGTAGAGTTTGCGTATTGAGATACCTTGTGTATTACAAGTGATAACAGAAGGGAAAAACTTCCGCAGGCTATGCAAAGTGAAGGATTTGCGAGATATATCCCATGAATTCACAGATGGAGATTTTTCAGATTCCTGCGTGTCAACGCAGGAATTCGTAAATTTTTTTTCAGTGGGCTGTACGGAAAATTACTTGTCGAAAAAAACATTTTTTTTCTCCTAACTTCTAAGCCTGAATCAGCAGATTTTTCCACTAACACATAGCTTAAGGTGTCCTGATTCAAAATCTTTATTATTTTTGTTCTGAAATTCATTCATTTTAATGGCACAGGATACGGATGCGAAGTACCGTATTTGATATCACGTATGCTTGCCCACTTGTTCTTACATCCATTCACAATTTATTTTGTAGCAAATAAATTCTTTATGCATATACAAATAAAAGCAATAAGAAATACAAAAAAATAGATATATCAGTAATTGTAACACAGGAATGTTGAAATGACTAGTTTGAATTTTGATCTACTACTGTTGAATCCACCGGTGCTTCTCCATCGTGATTATTTAACATCCAATCGTATGTTTTATAAGATATTCGAAGTCCTTGTCTTGCACCTTGTTTATCCAACAGAGTTTTTAACAATGATTGTTTTGGTTCATCGATATACTTCGATATCCATCTGAAACAATGGAATTCAATTGTGTAACATACACACACGTATAGAAAAAGGACGAATAAATTGAAACAGAATACAAATCACATATACTCTATGCAATGCATAATACTTATGCCCACCTCTTTCATACTGCTCTCATATTTCTTCGACAAGCCAAGAGTCTGTTTTCACTGTGCATGACTTAAGAGTGAATAAATTAAGAGTATAACATGGAGTCACACATTAATGGCATACATGAGTGGTATAAAACAGAACTTAGTGGTATTTGTAGGCGAACTATTACCTTAACACTTCTGTTTCTGATCGTCCAAAATCACTACGATACCATAGAAATAATTTAGACATTTTAATTTCTTGATTATCTAACACAATATCCACTTCAGCATTACAAAAACTTGTTGTAGCCATGTTCAAAGCTTTTTCAAGATTTGTTGAAGAGTAAATGGCAATTTGTGGACCAGACTAGCAAAACAAAACAAAAACAAGAAGAGAGAAATATTATTATAATTCATATTAGTCAAGTTAAATAAAAAAAAATAACTACCTTAGCCCCATAATTTAATGCAAAATGTATTCTTGGATCACATTTTCTCATTGAATATTTAGCTCTTGGATCATTATAAGTAAAATGACGTTGCGTACAATTTGAATGGGGTTTATTGCCTAAAACAAAACAAAAAAAAAGAAGATTCTTTTATGTATTCTATCTTCTATTAACTATATACATTAGTGATATCTACCTCTTAATATTCCATGTTCAATATCATCTAATGAGTAAATATATGCTCCCACTTTATATGCTGTTGTTTTCCAAAATTGATTTAAATCAAGAATAGATTTTGGTAAATCATTGATCGATGTTAGACAATGAATAGATAATGCATTATACAGATATATAAAGTGTTAAGAGAAATATAAAAATGTTTTTTGTTTAAAAAATGATATATAATACTATTATTACTAATTAAAGGATACTAATAAAAAATGTTTTTCGTTCATTTTCTGTAACATTATCCAAACTAATTGTTGTTAATCTTTGACACATTTCACAATAATCGTTATACGTTGGACTTTTACGTAAACGAATATAATTAACATTTCGACCACTGGCATCAATAAATGATGCTTTCAAACTAAAGTAATATGATAAAAATAATTTTTATTTTCTATTGTACAAATCTACAATGTTTTTTTTTTTATTGATAATAAATATTTACTTACTTGAGCATTTTTTTTTGTAATTCAATTGATAATTGAACAGCATTAAAACCATTTTTAGATTTTGGTTCATAATCATCATTTGTCTCTTTTAATTGTTTATTTTCTTCTGTTAAATCGGAAATTTTTCCTAGTGACAAACTTTCTCCACTACTAATGATTTTAAATTTATCTTGTACTGTACAATTTAAAACATTTAGCAAATAATATATTGAATTGTCTGTCGTATCATCGGGACATGCACCATTAATCACTTTGACACGATCTATAGAATTTAAAAAAAGAAAAAAAAAGAAGTAATGCCACATTGAAATTATTATTATGTAACAAAATTTATCACTCTTTCATATAGAACTTACTAATTCTTAATCTATTCTCTCAAATTTTATGTTCAGTTCTATATATGTCATGTACATATAATAAATTAACCATTATTATTATTATTATGATTATTATTCAATAAATACAAAAGTCATCAATTGGTCAACAACTGTCAAATGACAAAAACCAGTAACACTGCTATATTTTCAATTACACTCTATTTGATTGACATAAATAACAAAAACAACACAAAGAAGAATTATTATTAAAATTAAATTTTGTAATTCCCCTTATTTAAATTAAAAATTACCAAATCAATTTCTTTTTTTTCTTTTTATAGAAGAAAACCATTAATCGTTTAGAGACATAGGCAAACAAATTACAAGAGTTTTGTTTAATAGAAGAAGAAAAAAAACAATCCTGTTTTCTTTAGAGATTACATTTGTTTTTCCTCCTTATTTTGACATCTTAAATATGGTGAACAACACTTTATTACTTTATCAACACAGTAAACATCTTGAAATGTTAAAGAATTCACCTCATGGTTTAATTCTTTATATAGAATTTTTCCCAGTAACTTATAGTTTACAATGTCTTATTAAATAATGGATGTATTGTGAATCTTCTCGAAAAATCTTATGAAAAGATGTTGTGTCTTGTGCAATTAAAGCTTTTTTTTCCTCATTAGAAAACAAAACACTCCTTTCCGTTATTTCGGAAGTTATTTGTTAGTGTATTCACATGTTATTATTGTTTGAAAGTATAACTCTATTATGTTAAAAAAAACTAAAATGAATGGAAATTTTTTTTCTCAAAACTATTGTTATTTGAACATGATATTTTAAAGATTGATATGTAATAATTAGTTTAATATTCAATTAGACATTTTCCCTGTAGATGTTTTGTTGTATTATTAAAAATCAAACAATGTTACAAGTAAAAAAAAATTAAATTTTCTCTTTTGTTGCCTTCAGTTGAATAATGATGACTTTTTTTTAGATAAAAGGTATATACAGATAGAAGCGTAGTACATACAATAGGTATATATATATATATATATATATATATATATATATATATTATAGCTCGATTCCCACGGCAGTTGAAACAACATGAAAATTTTTTTTTTTATTACTGGACACATGTGAAACAAACAGTAGTCAATAGTTATAGACTAAATTCTCATTGGAAAAGCCTCATTCTGTACCTAAAATGTCGAATAAAATTTGTTTAAATATAGTGAAAAATATTGACTGTAAAAGAAGCATGATAGAATTATAGTGTAGATCTTTGTAGTCTATATACAACAATGTTATTCAAAATACAGTCGTTCATTTTTTGAACTCGTATATTTATTTTTGACAAGTAAAACTGTACAGAATATCATATATCTCATTCTAGCTCAACAGATAGGAACAGATAGAGGACATAGTCAAGTAACATATAGAGAGAAACATATAGTGAAATCGGTATCTTTTAAGATTTCAAGCTAGACCTATCATTCCTGTATAATTTCTACTATCTTTTAATGAATGTGGTGCAAAGTATAATTGTATTCTAGTAACAATCGACGTCTTTTTATCTCGATCAGAATTTGTGTCATTTTTCGTAACGGTTTTCTCTAGAATTAGACGTAAAAGTGGAAAATCAAGTACAGAGTCTTGTAGCTGAATGTGGGAATGTCCCTTTTTCAAGCTTTCTGGATGTACTGTCTTTTTCTGGGGCATCCGAAAGTAGGTCAATTGAAAATCGGGAACGTCAACAAGTTTTCAACAAAAGGTCAAATACTATCCAAAAAGGCTTTGGTACGCTCTCGGTTCGTTCTTTTGTCATCAGCAAAGCATCTACTACAAACATTTCTTGATGAAGTCGATAGTGCTCGAAAATCTCTACTAAAGTGCGTTGACGAAAAGATCAAAAAAGCTTGCAGATACGATGAAATTTCTGAAAATCAGAAAAACTAGCGAAAACACACAAAGACATGTATCGTTCGATTCAGTTTCTGAGACTAAATTCTGAATATTATCATGGCAGTGACTTGTTTTTCAAGACAACCAGGAGATATTATTCAAAGATTCATATGTTCTCTTGTTTAAGTCGATCAACTCTATCGTTTTGAAAGCAAAATTTGTTCGCAGAGGTCCTTTTTTTCTTCTGTTTACAAAAACCGAATGATAAAAGTTGCAATGACTGCTCTTTTTTTAGCAGGAAATATTATTCAATTAAAAGATAGTAGAAACTATACAGGAATGTTAGGACTACCATTCTATGTTAAAATCTTAAAAGGATACCGATTCCACTATATGTTGATTTCATTCCTTTCAGGGCAACTTTATATGGTTCTTCGATTTATCAGTGTACTTCCGTATATGATAGCTGAAATAATACATAAAACACTAGATTTTTTTATACAAAACAGGTCACAGTTTGCTGGCACTGCGATAATAGGTATGTATTTGGTTATGGCAATGTCGGTGAACAATATGTTTCCCATTCAATAGATTAAAGAAGTCTTTTAAACAGCGCATTCTGTATAGGCATACATCAGTTAAAAACTGGTGTTAGGACTTTCATGAAAAATGTTACAGATCGGTTTAGAGCCGCTGAACGTCTCATTTCGTAGAGGAATGTTTGGATCATAATCGCATATAAGTAAAAAAATTTGAAAATATATTGTGACAAAAATGTGAGCATTCTAAAACGCACTCATTTCTGGAAAAAAATCCTGTTCGAACAGTTAACAGTAACTGATGCATGCCTAATTCTGTATGATATGAAAGGATAAGATAATCCTATAATCTTCTACTTGCAAATAAAAACGAAACATAATGTGCTTCAGTGTAGGGATGTGCGATCTGAGCCTACGCATGACTCAAATTCGAGGCACCAGACTACTACAGTCATCTTTGAAACTTTACATATTTGTCTTACATTTGTTATATACTCTTGGTGTGACTTTGACTGAGATTCGAGACCTTATGTCTCAGAATCAAAGAAATAGAAATTTGTCCATCTCTGCTTCAATGTGTAATCCATTAATAAGTAGCATTCTGCCATCTAAATGAGCTCAAAGACATGAAACAGTGTTACTGTTCACAAGAGATTTAAAGGTATTGTGTTACTACTGAGTTGATCTATTATCCACAGGCAAGTTAAAACTGAGAAAAGAATAAAAAAAAACAAGAGGTAAATGAAATTGTACTAAAACGGATATATTGATTAGTCAAACAATCAAACGAATCGGAAATAGTTATAACCACATTCGTTGTACCCGCATAATGTTCGAAACAATAGATATAAAATAAAAAAAACACATTATAAAATAAAATAAATCAGTAACTTTTGACAATCGATTTATTTCATTTTATATAACAGTGAGAAAAAGTGGAGAGAGTAAAAATAAATTATAACAAAACAACAATTATAAAAGAAATAAATTATGAATTAAGAAAAATAACAATAATATTTTTACGGAAATACCTATGGGAAACGAGTGTATGAAAAATATTTGAAGAGTTCATATTAATTCAACAAAAAATCCAGCGATTATAAATCAAATATTTACAGTGTTTTCATTCATCAATGGTATTCTAAGATACAAATGTGATTAAAGACAAAAAAAAAAAAAAACGAATGTAAATAGATCAGTGTTTTCTCTCACTATATATTAACTGTATGCTTGTTTAAAAATTATGGCAACTAGACTAATTTTTAAAATAAATGTAAATACATAGCTAGTCAAATAAACTGAATAAAAACTTAAAATATCATGTTCTTTAAATGACTCTAGTATAATGGGGATAAGACATTTTTTAAGTTTAATTCTTCTATTTTCATATTCATAATTTTTAAGTCAATGAAGCGTTCTTTAGATACTTAGATTATTAATAGAAGGCTAAAAATTGACAGAAGATAACTTTTCTCCTAACGTTTAACAGTTCACACAAACAATAGAAAAAAAACAAAAAAAAAATGGGAAAGTAAAATAGACATCGATGTAGAAAAATTACAAAAAACGAGAAGCACATTGCCACTTAAAAAATGTCAATATGTTTTGATTAATATCTCAATTTTTTTTTTTTTTGTTTTTTGCTTATTATCAACTAAACATTATACGAGATGATGTATAAAAAATATTTTCTACTATTATTATCATCATAGTTAAAAAATACGAGAAAATATTATTGTTATGGATACTGCTTAAGAATATTTCTATTCATTTTTATGTTCAATTTCATCTATGAATCATATGTATTATGTTAAGTACCTCACTACAAACGCGCGCAGCTACTCGGGCACAACCGTCTTCACAGACCACCGGCTAGTCATCACCACCACTGTGATCAAACCAAACTTCTTGAGAAGGCAAGGCACAAATGCCAAATCGGTGAAAATCGACGTACCACGCCTAGCCAACAACGCGACAGATCGACACCGATTTCAGACCGAGCTCGACTCAGCACTCCACAAGATTAACAGCACAACAGCGACAACCTTCGACAAGTGGTGCGAGACCCGAAGCTCACTGATCAGTGTGGCAACAGCAGCGGTAGGTACAGTCGAAAAACAAGGAGTAAAGAGTTCATGCCCAACAGTGCAGGGACTCTCTCAACAACAAAAAGAGCTGAGAATCGCAATGAACAATGCGACGGACGCACAACGCCAACAGCTCAAAACACAACGCAACAAGGTACTTAACCAACTCCATAAGCACCTCAAGCAGCTCACTGAGAAGGAGATTGAGGAGAAAACAGCCGAGATCGAATCCCTCAAGAACACCGCACAAATGTACCAAGCGGTGAAAGAGTTGACAAGAGACAAACCTGCAACCACCGTCATCAAAAAACAAGACGACACCATCGCACAACCCGAAGAAGCGGCCGAAATTGTAGCAGAGCATTTCCACCAACTGCTCTATG